TAGAAGCTGCTCAACAGGGGGAGAACACAAAGGATGACATCTAAGGAGTTCTGGCAGCCAGAACACTTCAGCACCAAGGTGGAATTTCCAGCCAAGTCCAGGGGGAGGTGACCCAGACACCCACCCCACTGCCACACTTACTGAGCACCCCCCCACACACAACCACAGCAGCACACAAGGGCATCTCAGCCTTGCTTTGTGCCACCAGGACAAGAGTTTGGGCTTGTAAAACTACAATGTATCCCAAGTGGGATCCCAGTCCTACTGGTGGCAACAGGAGTGATGGTTTCTATCCACTGAGAGCTGGAGAGGGCCCCAAACCACACTGGCATTATGTTATCATAATGCTGGGAGCATTATAAATGCTCTGTGTGCCAGACAAATCCTGGAGCAGGCTTCCAAATCCCCTCAAAATCCCCACTTGCATCTCTACATTCATCCATTCATGAAATCCAGAGCAGAGCCTCTGCATCCATCCTTTTGCTCCTGGCCTCTCTCCAGCTGAATGGAAGGTGAGGCAAACTCAAGGTATTTCTTCTGGATTAGCCTTTTTTTTTTTTGCCTTTCAGGTGCCAAACCTGCAGAGGAACCTGCAGAATGATGTCCAGGAGGGCAACTGAGACAAATCCCATGGCCCCTTCTCCTGTCAGAGGGTGAAGTGTGTCTCATTATCCACGAGCTCTGGCCACCCATCCCTGCTCCCTGCAGGGCCACAGGTGTAGGCAGATCCTCACAGCAGAGTTTGCTTCCTGTATTCTTTTTGCAAGCAACAAGGGAGAGTTTATTTGGCCTGCTTTAGAGGAATGCCCTTGGATGAGATGAGCTGCAGCCTGGAAATGCCTATTTTTCTTTACTACACAGTAACAGAACACTTAAGCAAAGGGTTTCCCACCTTTTGGGGGTAAGCAGACTTCTCTCTCTGAGCCACAGCTTTCAATTCCCTCTCCACTGCTCTTAAGGAACAGCAGAAAAAGCCTTATACAGAAGCTTAGCTCTTGTCCTGGCTTTAGGAAAACAGCTCAGATCCAGGCAGGAGGGGGATCTTGAGCATTTCCTATTTATTCTTCTGTCACTGCCAGGCATATCACATGGTGTTCCCCATGGATAGGAGAGCTGGAGGGATTTCTGAGGGACCACTGCAGCTGGAAAACTGCTTAAAGGCTCTGTGCTTAAAGGTACCTGGGCAGGAGCAGACAGAGAGAGAGTGTGGAACTACACTGAGGGAGAACACACACTGCCAAGGAAGTGTGGAACACACACTTGTGTGGCCAGGATGGAAAACACGGCTGTGCAAAGCTGCCTGTGAGAGCTCCCAGCCCAGCACAGGTACCCACAAGGTGTTCTCCTGCACAGGGATCATTTTATGAGCCTGTCAACGACCTGCCTCGGAAAATTCCTCTTGGGAAAACCAACACGCCCACCGAGGGAGAGGGACAAGAACAGGAGGAGGGATAAACTGGCGAAATTTGTGGGGCAAAGCACTGTGAGAGACCAGGATCTGCTCCCTAGCACTGTGAATTGTTCTCAGTTCTCTCCCCAAGCTCTCAGTTCCCTGGAGGTTTGGAGTTCCCATTAAAGCTGTAGGAGGATATATTCCATAGTGACTAATGTGCTGTGTTACTTAGAGCACTTGGGGGTGGTCCACGTGTCTGGATCAGGATATGGAGATTAATTAGGGGCCACACCCTGTGATCTCTGCTCAGCAAAGCCCCCACGAGCTTCTGAAGGTGAATCCAGCCCTGGTGCCAACTTGCCAACCCAAACACAGACAGTTGGGGATCGAGGGAGGATCCGTCCTCGCTCTTCACACCTGGTGCTTGGCAGAGCTCCCTTCTCCTGCCACCAGAGAAGCAAAACACTGGTAGGTAACTGATTCACAAGCAAAGACAACATGTTACAGAGCAAAATAACCCCTGAAACAGCCAGTGCAGAGGCCCTTGCAGTGACATTGCTGCCAGAGGGTGCTTTGCCTTCGGGGGGGTTGAAGCCACACCAAATGCACCTCCAGCCAAACCAGACCTCCAGCTACAGCCCACCTAACTTTTCCAGGCTCCTGCATGCCACGGAGGGCTGCAGGAAGAGGGGAGGGTGAGAGAGCCACAGAGGGCATGAACCTCAGAGAAAGATGCTGAGCAAGGCCTGCTGTGTCCCCAGAAGTCAGGGATCCTGGAAGCCAGGCAGCCTCTGGCACTGCTCATCCCTGCGTGACAAAATGCACAGCAGTGCAAGAAAGGACCATGTCCTGTCCTCCTCTGGATTCAAATCTGCCCACTGGGTTTTGTTTGAAGGAGGAAAAAACTGCTTTTGCACAATTTTTTTTTTTTGAGCCAGTAGAAATAGAACAAGGGCAGGACAGAGCAAAAGCATGGCAAAAAGCAAGTCTGCAAAAAAGCAGTGAAAAATGAATTTTGCCCTGGTGTCCCTTTCGAAGACAGTTTTTTTCATCTCCCAAGGCTTCTGCTGTGGCAACAGGAGGGTGCTGCAAAAGATGAAAAGGGCAGATGCTCTGTTTTGGTTTCAGAAAGCATTATGTTTTGACATTGAGCAGCCAGCTTTGCATCTGTGCTCACACTTTGGGACTGGAAGGTTTCCTGGTGGGCTTAGACCAGATCTCCCAGTTAGAGCAGTGGTTTGCCAGGAGGATGCAGCGTGGGTAACCTGCTGAAAACCAACCAGCCCTGCACACCAGAGGCACTCACTGCTCTCCTTCCCTCAGAAGGTGCAGAGTTGCACAGAAAAAACAGAAAGATGCAGGACAGCAGAGCAGGTCAGGGGAGGAAAGAGCAAATCCAGCATCCCTGAGGCTGGAGCTCTTTAGACACTGCCCTGCTGAGGACAAAGCCACAGGAGAACAGATCCCTGACCCCAGTGGCACTGTGGCAGCCTGTGGCATGTACGAGGTGACAGTTCCCTCCAGGGCTGGGCCACCCCCCCCTTTGTGTCCACTCTCCACTATGAGCCACCTTGAAGGGTCAGGAAACTTTGGGAAGCCAACTCACAAGTGGGAAAGGTCTCCCCCTTCTCCTCCTTGCTGACACATGCACGTGGAAAGAGCCCTTTATGGATTCCCTCTGGCTTTTCTGTCCCAGGGAATCAAAATGACACAAAACTTGAACCCCTTTTTCTGCACCTTCCTCGGGTCAGTGTGGTTTGGAGGGATCCAGCTCTCACTGTTGACTCCAAGTTCCCAGTGCTCTGCCAGAGAACCCAGTAGTGTTTCCCTAGGAATGGCTTGAAGGGTGGGATTTATAACTCAGCTGTATGGAATGGGAAAGTACTCAGAGCCAACATCACCGATTTCATGTTTCTTCCTCTGTCTTTCCTACACCCATAAATATACTCAACCAGGAAAATAAAATGTTTGCTCAGCTATCTCCCCATTCTTGTAGCACCCACTGTCCTGCTGGCTTTAGCCTTTTCCAAAGCTTTTGGTCCCTGTCACAGAATTCACCCTGCTGGGAGAAATATCTTTCTTTTTCACTAAGTATTCAGATCCTTCACCAGAACATCCATATTCCTCAGTGCTTTGAGGCTGACACAGAAAGAAGATATTTTACCCTCTTTTCCCGAGTGCCTCCATTTTCCCCCCAACCTTTTCAGTCCCATCTCTGTCAGGTAAAGCCAAGAAATCCCAACCACTGCAACCTTCCAGGCAAGTCTTGCAGAACTGACTTCCAGACGAGTCAATTCATTCACTGAGGCAGATGTTCAGGGACACCAACAATTCAGACAAGGATGTACAGATCCATGGAAGAGACTCCAGAGTCTCTGCCAGTCCATAACATTGGACCACGAGCTCCTTAAATGTTCCTACAAGCTCTTACAGCAATTGTCTGCACACTGGGGCTCGTGACTTTCTGCACTGTGTGCACACAAGTGGGGACTTCTGTGACATGTCATTATTTAATTTTAAAGTAAAGGCTTCCTAAGACCCATCAAGAAGTCCCTGAAGGCAAGGGGAGGAGGGGGGATGTGACAGAGAGCACGGAACAAATGGATGTTGCAGCAGCAAGATCCTGCCAAAGATATTGAGGGATGGCCAGCCAAGACCTCTGCTTGCTGGGAATAACTGGATATGGGCTCCACAGCTCTAAACATCAGGATCTCCTCAGTGCTTCCCCAAACACCTGGGCTAAGCCACCTCCCAGCACTATTTGGAGTTGTGCTTTCTGGTCTGACCAAGAGAAATTTGGGCTTTCACGGTCAGAGACCCAGGAACAGAGTCAGAGAGAGGCCCAGCAGGGAACAGGAAAGCACCATTTGTGGGCAGCTTCATTGATCACCACGGACTTGCTCCTCCACAGTCACTATTTTTCATCCCCACCCACTCCCACAACATAACACGGTACAGAGATCACTCTGGCATTGCTCAGCCATCTCCTATTCCTCCAAAAGCTAGCACTTGGACAGCTTCTCCTTTTAAGCAGCCTCAAAGTTGGCTGTCACCGCTGCTGGCACGAATGAAAGGGATTTCAGTTCCCCCTCCTCCTAAATCCCATCCCTTTCTGTTGCGAAGAAAAGGCAGAGGATGACCAAGGGAAGGGAAGAGCAACTCTCACCTCCCTCCCCTCCTCCTGCACGGATGCACCGCCAGTCTCGAAGGGTGCAGGGCCATCGGGGTGCCCAGGCAGCTTCCCGAGAGCCCGAGGGGAGCCCCGGGGCAGGGGCAGGGCTGCGAGGGCAAGGCTGGGAGCAGAGAGCTCCTGGAGGTGAGACACGGGCACGTTCCCCATCACCCGGCCAGCCCTCCCCAGGGAAAGCAGCTTGGTGTCCTCAGCCCCAAAAAGGGGGGACAAAGTGCCCCCCAGCACTGCAGCCCGCGGGACCCGTTCTGCGTTCTTTAAATACGCCGGGAGGGGTAGAAAAATCGCTTGGGGTGTCTCCTGCCGCCTCCCACTCCCTCCCGCTGCATCCACACATCCACACACCCAGCCCTGTGCATAAAGGATGCCTGTCCTGCTCAGCTCAGCCATGCAACGCCTGCAAGAGGCAAGAGTTACCTTATTCCCACAGCCTGAACCGCCTTCTCTCTCCATCGTGGCTGGGAAGCTGCTCCCATTCATGCTTTAATCCCTGGGAACAGAGGCACGATTCAAAGCGGCTGCTCGCCCATCGGAGTGGGCTCCCCCAGCAACCTCCTCCTCCTCCTTCTCTCCTCCCTTTTTCGTCGTTTGTTGGGTCCGGTTTTGTGGTTTGCTGGTTTTTTTGGTTCTGGGTTTTTTTTTTTAATGTATTCTTTCTTAATCCAGGCGGCAACCGAGACACTCCTTCATCGCCTCTCTGCCTCCCCGTTTCACTCGCACAGAAACAGCCTTGGAGAGCTCCTTCCTCCTCCTCCGCCTCCGTGGACCTCTGGCTCCCAGGTCTGCCTTCTGCAGCGTGGCGTTGAGGGAAAGAAAGAGAGTGAGAGAGGGAGGGAGCGGGCAAACAGGGAGGAGGAGAGGAGGAGGAGGAGGAAGAGGCCAACGGGATGCGGGAGGAAGGAGCCCGAGCGTGGCTGGCTGCTTTGTATCCAGAGCGGTGCCGACAGCCTCCCCCTGCCAGAGGAGGACCTGCTAATGGTCTGTACCAATTTATTCCACTTGGGCAGGGGCACTTCTCCCTGCGACAGGAGGAAAAGCCGGGGAAGGCTCCGAGATGGCCCCTCAAGGAATTGGTTCCTGCTCTCCTCGCTCCACGGCATCACCCGCCGAGTTCGCAGGCACAGGCTCGGGGAGCCGCTCTCCCGGCTCGGCAGGCAGGAAGCGCGAGGATGGGAAGGGCTGGATGCGAGGGAAGGGTCTGGCTGGCGAGAGGGCTCAGCACCTCTCAGAGGGAGCAGTGACCGTGTGCTGGGGGGGAAGCAAGGCTCCCCCTCCTGCCCCCAGGGTGGCAGACAGGGCTCTGCTCCACTCTCAGCACACACACACCTCAGCAGAGCACCCTCCACTCCTCTCTGCCCGTGCCCAGGCTGATGGTTCCTGGCTGAGCCCACCTGGGCTTTGGCAGCAGCGGGGAACACTCTTTACATCTCATCCAACTCCTCTTTTATCGAGCACCACGTCCCTGCTCAGCCACCCCCACCCAAAGAACAAGGTACCCCCATATTCACCCTGGCAGCTGGCCCAGGTCCCTGGCACCAGGCAAAGGGCAGCAGGAACATGATTTCCCATGGGAAGGAGGCTCTGGATGTGACTAGGGCTGACCCCAATCTGGGGGCAGCTGCAGCAAGTGCAGCAGGCACGCAGGACACTTGTGTGAGCTCCAACCATGCTGCAGGACCCCGGGGATGCTCCCTTCCTCTGCAGGGGCCATTTGGAGGATGCAGGGCTTGAAGAGGCAGAGTAAAGGTTTTATCTCCTGCTCCTGCCCTTTAACAGCTAACCCAGGCAGGGCTGACTCATGCTCAGCAGCAGATTTCTCTGAGATGGCTGAACACCACATCTCCAAATGCCACGTGCACAGCTGGACAGTTTAACATGAGCCAAAAGTCACTGTTGAGCTGGGGGCAAATCACCTTTTACCTGTCCTGAACTGCTGCCTGCTCACCTGCCTCCAACCACATCAACCCCTCCATGGACCACCATCTCCTCCTGGCTCCGTGTTCCACACTGGACGTGCACAGATCCACAGCTACTCCCTTGTGACTCCCTCTCTGTAAGGTTACAGTGCCATGGTAACCTGTAGGTATAGACAGATTTACTTATGCTTTAGTAAAAAAGGAAGAACAAAGAAAAAAATGCAACATTCCGGTTACTGTGCAAAGCTCAGAGAGCTGAGGTCCAGAGTGTGAGGCAACCTCAGGGACCTTCATCAGGTCATTCAGACCAGCATTTCCACTGGACTTGTTTGAACATTCAGACCCCAGTTCTGACTTGTGCATCTCAAGGGGCACCTGGGAGCAGAGCTTTCTGCTGTTTGGAAGTCCAAACATCAGCCATAAATGTGCAGCCATCGAGGCACACCGAGAGATCCCAACTGCATCATCACAGGGACAGGGACAGTGGTTCCCATAGTCTTTCCTTCTCAAGTGGGGCAAGCTGGAGGACTCCCCACCACTGTCTCAGGTGGGAATGAGCTTTGCTGAGCCTGGAACCAGGGATTTGATGCCTCCAGGCCAGTGCTGAAGGACTGTCCACAGCGATGCTGGAAGGAAGGAGCTTTATAACAGCCTCTCCCCACAAGCTGCACTTCCCTGTGGATGCACAAGGATGAACAAGGGCTGCCAATCCAGAACCTTTCATGCACAGCCAGGTGAGCTTCTGCTCAGCCACCTCCTCTGCAAAACACGTCAGTTCTTGCAATCAAAGGGAACGTGGCCTTTTTTTGTCCTTGGTCTCATTTTCTGCAGGGTACCAAGGGAAAGATCAGCTCCAAAGACTACTTGCCTGGGAATTTTGTGCCAATTCAGCTAGTACTAAGGGTTTCACTGAGCTCTGTGTCTATTAAAAATGCATAATGTCCACTTATATCAAAAGGATAGATTCAAACCCAGCGCTTTTCCAGCATGTCCCAGCTGCTGTTATGGCATTCAGGAGATGGATAGGAAGGAGCTGTCCCTTGGGGCCCATATCAGGAATAAGAAAAGGGCACATCCACTGACTATTTCAGGGCTGGTTGTGACAGGGAAAAATAAGGGAGAAAAGACATAAAAATGCTCCTGCCACAAAGCCTAACCACATAAATATTCAGGGAGGAGGGAAAGATGTGCTACACCTGAGATTTATAAAAATTATGGGCGAGCAGTAACATTTCAGGTTAAGCCCTGCATCTGTGTCTCCAAAGGCTCACAAAGGGGGAAGGCATTGGGATGAGTATCAAGGGAGCTCAGGAGGGACACAGACACACACACACACAGAGGCACTGCTGCCTCCCTCTTCTGCCCCCCCCCCCGGCTGAAAATTACGGTCTGACGCACTCCGAGCTGCTTTTTGTGATCAGAGCAGCAGAACAACCGTGCACAGACACTGCTCTGACATTTTCCAGGGTTGTCCCTTTGAACCTTAACAGATCGACTCGCCTGCACGATGGATGGGAGTGTGAAACATTCCCCAGAGCCCAATTCCAGGAGAGGGCAAGCCTGCCAGCAAGAGGGGTAGGGGAGGAAAGACTCGATCCTCCCTCGGGATCTAGGGATAAAGGGGGAAGGGTGCTGTTTGCCTGGATCCACAGAGCTTCACGGAGGATGGGAATCTGAAACAAGCAGCATCGCTGTTGACAGCAGTGTGTATAAACAGAGCAGCATTTCCCTGCTCCCTCCCCCTTCTTATTATAGCACAAAGCACCCCGAGTAAAATACATACCCACAACAATCCACTATAAAAGGAAAACAAAGCCCGGAGCGTGTGCACGCACACACAAACACAGAGACACTCTCCTGGAGAGCACAGCATAGATCCAGTACCTTAAATGTCATTTTTTTAAATATTAACTCTGTGCTCCCGGCTGGGTTTATGTAAGGTTTCTAACCGCGGGGCTGGAGGCACGTGAAAACCTAAACTGGATGCTCGCAGCCTGCCCCGGCTCCGCCTGCCCCGGCCTGACCCCGCTCCATCCCCCCCGTCCCGCTCCATCCCCCCGTCCCGGCTCCGCGGCAGCAGCAGAGCCGGGGCAGACACGCTCCCACCGGGCATTTTTCCCGGGAGGACGCAGAGCTGCAGCTCCCTTTCCCCCTCTTCCCGGCGCTTGCCATCTGGCTCTGTCAGGAGGCTCCTGCTGCAGCCAAGCACAGACACGAGCGGATGCCTCTCTCCGGATGAACAACCACTTCATTAGCCGGGGCCGTGCGGGGCAGAGGGAGGAGCACGAGGGCAAATCCTCGGCAAATAGCAGGATCCATTTCACACAAACGCGGTGCTGGGCTGCTGGGAGCAGCCCCGGGGCTGCCGAGAACCACGTTTCCATCGAACCTGGCTGCCAGCCCCTCCTGCTGCCCCAATCGCAGCTCCACCAGCTCTTCCAGAGCTGTCTTGTTTTCCAGCCTCAGGCAGCCTGAGCATGGGAACTGCCTCACCTCAGGCTTTCCCAGAGTTTTCCTCAGCTCTAGGCTGGGCTCCAGATTGTTACCACCTCGTGGTGCCAGGCTTGAGACACGACTCCCTACAGAAATGGGACGAGGAATGAGGTGGGCCAGTTGTTGAAATGCCACCTCACACCCAACCCTGACACTGGGCAGGGAGGACCTCTTTTAATGGTCCCACCCACCTTGTCATGCAGGTGAGAGGGACTGGAGGCCGTGGGAGGGGCTGTGGAGAAAAAAAAAAAGTCTGGTCACTTTGTCAAACTAAGACCATTCCCCTTCTTCCTGCAGTAGCTGCTCATAGCCAGAAATCGAACTAACAAATTGTGTTATCTCTCCATTCAGCCAAACCCCTGGACCTATTTATGGTGCTCCCTTTAAGCACCACAGTCCATCCCACGCTTTGGAACAGATCCTTCTCCTGCTGTGGTTGACATGTACAATACTGGGCAAAAAGATCCTCCAGCAAGCAGGACCAGCACCTGCTACTCTGGTTACTGTTCACCAAGGGCCAAGAAAGTCAACAGGTTACCCTTTTCACCTTGAAGCCAAGACAGGGAGACACTTTCTTCCCTGGCAGCAATCAAGGCTCTGTAAGTGCAGGGAGGGCATTTATCCCCCCGATCTGTGGGTGCAGCACACCCTCAGGGTGCTGCACAGATATTGCACAATATATTTAGGAGCAGGTCAGAGCAGAGGAGGTCTCCGTGGTGCTGCATCAGCAGGTGGTGCTCTCCCCTTCAGTTAAGCCCTAGCCTGGCATTTTCCCGCTGGGATTTCCTCCAGTAAGGACACCTCAGCCTAAGGCAAGCCCCCTCTGCTCTGCACTGCTGAGAGACTGAGCCTGCATCAGTTCAGAGCCACACTTTGCACGGAGCTCCCCATGGACCGTGATGCTCCTTAACATCTTGCGAGAAACTCTTCGTGGGCTAAAGACCCATCGTAGGTGAGCCAAACTCAGGGGAACATCTAAAAGGAAACAGTTTAACACATTGCTGGGAGCTGGCAGGAGTGTTTCAATAACCCCCAGACTCTTTTGTCCAGCTACAGCCGTTCCCTGATCGTTACCCTGGCTGGGATCCAAGGCAGAGATTGTTCAGAGACCAGCACAACCCAGACGGTGCTAAATCACAGCATGCAAACTGTTCTCCAAGGGATGTTAATTTATTGGGAAGCACCCTCTCAGCAAACAAACATACCCAGGGATCCAACTCTCTCCACAGGGCTTTGTAATTAAGCTCTGTGTCCAAACCCTCTGCACACCCATCACACAGGTCAGGAACTCTGCTCTGGATGCCACAGCTTGACACCAGAAGAGAGGAGAGGAAGCAAACACAGGCACACACTGCTGGAGTTATTGCTGGGTCTCTGGGTGCGGTGAGACAACCCCAAATGGGGATTTCCTCATGACAAAAAGTCACAGGCCCGTTGTTTTTAGGGGTCAGGAGACTGAGCAGCCAGTCCAAGCCTGCATCTCTCTCTGCCTTAATACTTCAGCTGTGCTGTTGGTAAGTGCTCTGCCCCATTTCCTGCCCTGTTGTCCCCACATTTTCTACCACTGCTTCTCCAGGCAGCTTTGGCTCTTTCTGAGAGAGAACCCTCTTCAAGAGCAGCTTGTGACACTCTGGGATTGCAACACAATGAACTGATAAAGCGAGACATAGAAGCGCATAAATAATCATAATATCTCACGTCCCAAGATCACACAAGCAATTTAGATTCTTTTTTCGTGTCCCATTTATAAATATTCATTTCGGAGATGTTTTAAACCAACAGAGCCTGATGCAGACTTGCTCCAAAAGCTCCAGCAGCCTAGCATTCCCATGCAGTGTGCAGGCAAATTACACCTCTTTGAAGCCTCACCTCGCCCTGCTGGGGTGAGCAAAGCCCTGCTGCCTCTTGCCTGCAAATATCCACAGACCATGACAAAAAAACCCAGCAGCAAATATCTCAGCAGCTCCTGCCACTCCTGTGGAAGTCATGTCCCTGCCATGTCCCCATTCCCTGCCATTAACCTCCATCTCCAAACTCTTACGTGACAACGTGGGAATCACATCACCTTGTCTGGGTTTACCCAGCTGCCACCCAACAGAACCACTTGGATCTATAAAAAAACTGCTGTGTTCGTGCCTGGAAAAGAAAAATTAATATGCAAAGAGTGATAAATCCTCTGATGTGCACATTTATGTTTTTATCATGTAGTTAATCAGGAAAGAGTATGTTCAGTTTAGATACAGCTCCACACTTTGCCTCTATAATCCGAATCCCAGAAGGGTCTTATAAAACCATAATCTGCAATGCAAAGTTGCAAAGCATATGGGAGTGTCTATAGATTTTCCAAATCACCTGTGCCCTAATTTAATATGAATAACAATTAGTTTACTCTTATCAGTTAATTGTGCCCCTTGTGGATTCAGCAACACTGCATCTCGTCACCGAACACCTTTGTCTGAGCAAACTTTAATTACACTTCCCCTCGCCCAGCCCCACTTGCAGCTTTGGCAACAAAGGCGAAATTGCTGCTAAACAAAAATCCCACCGCCGGCGACAACACAAAGGGAGAGAATCAGAGGAGCAAACAAAGCAGCCCGGGGTTAATAGCAGGGAGTGTAACTCGGCCCCTGCAGCGCAGCCAGAGCAGCCGGATCCTCCCAGCATCCCGGAGGAGCAGCACCAGGCGCTTCTCCAGCCCAGACAGCACTGACAGCCCTCCATCCCTATCTCCATCCCAAGGTGTGCCTCCCAGCCCCGGGCAGCAGCGG